GAGAGAGAGGGAGAGAGAGACCAGCACTGAGACTCGACCCTAAACAAATCTGGACCTCACCAGATTTGCAAGGACGCCCACGCCCACTTAGTTATTCAGATAGGCATGAAAAGACTTTAATTCAGAGAGGCCTGTTGCATCAGGGATTGCCATTGTGTTCAGGCTGAGCAATTAGTTCCCATAGAAAAGTGAAAAAAGTGAAAGAGGAAGGCCTCATCAGTGACACGTACACGCCTGCGCACACACATACGTTTATGCATGGTGTACGCACAGTCACGTAGTACAGAAACACACTGACAACACTTGCTTATATCCTCAACACACATCCTCACTCTTCACCACACACCCCATGAGGCAATGCAGCCTGTTAGGGGCCTCATCCAATTACAGTCATCTGGAGGTGACCTCTGGTCCTCCATACTGCTGCTTTATATGTCACAGACAGAAATTGGGGGGAAGAGAGAGACACAGAAGAGAGGGGAGGCATCAAGAGCATGTTGGAGAGCACCGCAGGGGAATGGCATTATACACTATTACACCGACAGCTCTGGGAAGCCGAGTGCTCTCCAGCACTGCTCCAGTAGTTCATCAGGCCATCCTGGCAGGCTATGAGCTATAATTGGGCCAGACCTTTGAGATGATGGCAGGCTAACGCATCAGTGTCTGCTAAACGCTAGTGTCAACATGCCAAAGGAGCTGTCTCGCAGGGACTTCCGGCACGGCACTACTGCAAGTACAAGTGAATGCACAAGCTGGAGCTCGCTACAAGTTATGTCAGTCGCTTTATAGCATCTACACAGCATTATAGCATCTAGCAGGGCATGCAAAATGAATATTAGGGTCATGTCAAGTTGTTAAGATAGAAATTGATGTGGATGTGGGAAAAGGTTACAAGTAAAAGGTCATGACTGGCTGTTACATTACTATCAATCCTTTCCTTCCTCCTTGCTCTTCCAATCCTAACCTGTGACGTCTTCCACTGGTGAATATGCAGAACATGTGAAAAAGGAAATGTTCCACCTTTTTTAAATGCAATATTTGTAACTATATTTACTGCATGGCACCAACAGGACCAGGTTTAGCTTCCACTAAACTCTTTCTAGTCAGCCTTTTGTTTGTTTTTTTTAACTTTACTCACGTTGGTCAGCTTTGGATGGCGAGGTGTGGTTGAGTTTCTCCAGTGAGTCACTGCTGCCTTCGTTTAGGATGTAATCGAAGTTAAGGATGAACATCATGACGACTCCCTCCTCGTTCTTCACAGGGATGATATGGGTGGCGCACAGGAAGTTTGAACCTAACCAACAGGAAATTAAATCAAGGTTAGAAATGGGTAATAAACTTTTATGTTTGATGAACTTGGCACATGTCTCACTGCAATCAGTTAGAATCCTGAAATTATGACCCACAGTAGTCTAAAAGGCAAGCTCGCTTGATTAAAATTCATAACTTAATTATTTTATGTGCAAAACAAAATAGTAAAACCCCATCAAAGACTCAAAGTAACAGCTTTTCAGCTAAAGTACAGTTTGACCCCGGAGCTTTCCATTAACACTCTTTGACATTCAAACATCTTATTCCAGATAAAGCTGTGTGTGCGGAAAGGCTTGGGAGAGAAATGAGGGTGAAAAGGTCAAGAGATCCACTGAGAGGAAAGCCTCTGGAGCTAAATTATTTCATAAATCCAGACGGTCCTGCTACTGCGTACCGCACAGTTCAGTACAGTCAAATACAGTGCAAACATCCATTCCCCTCAAGTTAACATCCATGTCTTATCCAATTACTTCCATACAGTGACATCCAAATTAATGTAACATGAATAAAAAGACACACACACACACACACACACACAAAAATATAGCAACCATTCTCACAATTCGGTCTGGGGAAAAAATGAATGAATTGCTCTCAGTTCTTAAACCCCAATTATAGAGTTGCTGATGGCTCCGCAGTGGGAGGTAAATTTAATGCAACCCTGCTCGTCGCTAATGCCTCATGTCTAAAATGTTCCTCATTTATCAAAAAAAAGGTCAACAGAGATGGATCACTGTTACACACAAACAAAGAAGTTTAGGCTTGAATGGTGTTATCTCTGGTTGCCAGCATTGGCTAGATGGGATGTATAGAAGCTATGACCAGGGTAACTGGTGTAGAAAATGAAATGTATAACTATTAAGTTTTAAATAATAAATGTGGAAGATGCTCTCCCTCACATTAGGCTTCAAGTCCTGCTGTCACCAGTAGACTATTTATAGCTCACCCAGCAGGCACCCAGCCTACAGCTTTTCTTTTCTGGGGGAATACAGAGACACAGACACACTGCTGCACAAGCACACTCAACAAAAATGCGAAAAATGCATGCCAGTGCACGCGCCCCTCCCCCCGAAACAAATTAATTGCAGAATTCCTGTCATTTTTTCTCATAACGTATCGATAGGCTCCAAAACTGTATTGTGCAGCAAGATTATAAACCAACTGCTTCACCAGACTGGGGTTTGATTTATGTATTAGGGAGCCCTGATTGCGCTGGGCTAAGCAGTAACTTGCCCCTAATAGTACATCAGTGTCACCGTGAGTGAATGGAGTCATTAATTTCTGTCAAAGGGGGGGTGGTGGCATTATCATGCCACTTCTGCCTTTACTGAGAACATGCAGAAGAAGCCACTATCCCAGACGGAGGTGGCTCTTTGCTTTAATGGTTTTCAGGAAACATTATGGATGTACTTTCACTAAAGGGAATATGCACTGTATGCAGCAAGGACAGGGGGCCATGAGTATTAGTGGAAGTTAATGGATTTAACAGGAACAGAAAAGGGCTCTCAAGTTTTATATACTTATACAAGTCTAATATTGACAAATTATACAATTTAACCCTAACTAACTATTTTTAATTATTGTATTTTACAACAAAAGATGTTGTGAATAATAAAATGTGTTAGCTTTTGTGTCAGTGTTGCACCCTTCAGATATAAATGTCTGAGAGAAAAACAGAATGGAAAATAATGACCGATTTGCAGCCTTAGTATAAATGTGTCCGTTTTATCTCCTTAAGCACAAGGAGCAGCAATGATTCATTTTGTTTCCAAATTAAAATTGAAACGATCATGTCTATCTCCATGGAAACAAGTGAGCGCTCCAGAGAAAAAACAAACTTCCTGTGCCAAGTTGGATATTAGTATCATTCGTCTCCAGCACAAAGCAACTTCAAGATGTTTCTCAAATGAAATGACATCATCTGTATTCCACTGCAGACATCTGTGAGGAGAACGCTGAGAACAAAGTGAGAGAAATTTACCTTTCAAAATAGCCAGGTTTTCAACTTGTAAAGTTACATTTCAAGTGAGTAAAGTTTAAACATTAGTTACACAAGATGAGACAGTTTACGACCTCTTTTGCAGTATAGCCACCATCATACAGCAGCATCAGGGACCATTTATCCTGTAGCAATGCTAGCAGGTTCTGTACAAACGAGGAAAAAAGCTTTAGCTAATGAGGCTAAATTCATGACGATTGAATGTCTCCCCTGTGGTTGAACTGAAGAGGAACAAACTGCAAAGCCAATTCTGCCAAAGTAGAGGACCTGGACACTCATTAGCATGTTCATCAAAAACAGGTGTGGAAACATAGGCCCACACACGCACGTACATTATTCAAGGACAATTTTTTCCACTCCGTTATTATACACACACCCGAAATACACACACATGCACTAACACGACCAATACTGCCCATTAATGTATGTAGAGGTGTCAAGAGGGGCTGCCACGTAGTCTGTGCCCCGAGCAGTTTGGGGTTCAGGGCCTTGCTCGTGGCAGTGCCCAGGAGGTGAACTGGCACCTCTCCAGCTACCAGTCTACACTCCATATGACTGGTCCATGCTAGACTCGAACAGGCAACCATCCGGATCCCAAGCCAAACCCCCACGGACTGAGCTCCCGCCGCTCAGTGCTTAGTGTAACCTCGGGAGGGCATGTAACCCCAGCTTTGTAAAGCAGTGTGTGTGTGTTTTGTGTGTGCATGTATAGGAGCAACTCTATAGGCATTTATAATTCATTGGAGCCAAGTATTATGTTCTAGAAAACGTAAAGGTTTAGGCCAGGGGTTTTCAAAGTCTGAGACTGTGGGCCTCTACTCAGACAAAGCTTGGGAGACGACCCCCTCCCCAGACACTCAACATGTGAGCCAAAATAGCCTAATATTACGGTTTGACATAACTTCCGACTACAACAAGTAGTTTTAATAAAAAAAAAAAAATGTCTGTCCTACAGCATTTATTAGTTTCTAACTCTGATGGAGGGGGGGGGCAGTTCCCAAAAACTACTGTATCTCTGAACAAACGAACACACACACACTTCAATGAGTAATGGGATATTTTCTCACTTCCATTCACTGAGCCTCCCCTGAAAATGTTTGGAGCCCCCCCTAGGGAGGACCGCCTCACATTTAGAAAACCCCTGGTTTAGGCGATATAAGAATGAGACTTGATGGTTATGTGCTCAAAATCGACACACATAAGAAAAGTGCTCCCAGAATCGGCTGACAAAATCCCTAATTCAACTATTCAGGCTGTGAAGAGTAGGTGTGTGGATACATACATTATTTCCCATTTGACTCATTATCATTATTGGCTGTTTGTTCATCCTGATGTTAATCTATGTTTTTTGTTTATGCATGTGCTGCATTGATTTTTACACCATGTCATGCACTTGCAAGATACATTTGAATCTGTACAGAGATGCATGAGGGAGTTTTTATGTCAGAGTGGGGTATGGGCTACTGCATGTGGGTTTGACAATTTGGGGATGACAAGAGAGATAAGTGTTGGTTTGTGTGTGTGTTCTCAGTATTAACCTCCACTTTGACCTGCACGTCTGTCCATTTTCGATTTTTGAATCTGCATTTAAATGTAAAAAAAGCCAATATCTACTTGCGCCGTTAGCTGTCGGAGTGTGCTCATTTCATTTTCCATTACTCTCAAAGACATACATTAGTGTGTGATGAGGCACAACAGAATAAAACCATTATGACGCAAAATAAATCTGTTAATACGATTTATTTTCCATGTGCCTCTCTTTCCCCTCCATTTCCCATTAGCGCTTTTTTTAAACTCAGTATCTACCTCATCGCTCTTCTCTAACATTTTCTCTCCATGTCCTTGTCCGTCTATCACTCTTCCTTCACTGTTATTAAATCCACCCAAGTCCTCATTTGTTTTCTTTTTCCGTTTTCTCACAATCACCGGTTCTCCCTTCAGCCGAAGTGTGCCTCGCTCTCTCGCTCCCTATCTGCGTAGGTCGCTCTCCCTGAGAAATGAGATAGCTGCCTAGGTTCTCTGCAGGAAGGCCACCTGACGTGTTATAAGTGGACAGATCAAACAGATCCCCGGTGCTGCTGCCGATGCAAATTTCTGCCTGTCTGCCTGCATATTCTGCCTCAGTGGAGGGTCAAAGGCAAACACGCACGCACCTCCCGCAAACAGAAATAACATTTACATTTCTCAGTTGCACATTGGCATAGAGACAGACAGCCATGCACACAGGCACGCACACACTCTAATGATCTCAGTTCAGCACACTCCTAACCAGGCAGAGACAGACACTGGCTCTCACACACACAAACACAGTGACTCACACGCAGCCTGCCGGCAGCATTAATTAGCAGAATGTTCTCTGTCCAACTAAATCTAATAAGCAGGCAATGGAGCTGGTTTACATGGTGCAGTGTAATGAGAGAACGCACCTTTTGAAAGGCACTAAAAGAGCTTTAGTCAAAGTATCTCTGACCTGAATATTCATAGGGAGCTGCAATGCAAAACATAGTTAAGCATCCTAATAATATGATCCATTAGGTGCCATCTCTAAAAATTGCTCATCCGTCTTAAAAACAAAACAGCATGACTCAGCATTCTTCTTCCCAAACTCAAATCTACAGTCATGGATGGATGGACTAAAACACAAACAAAATCTTTTCCTCTCTGGTCTCTAATCCTCCGAGGAGAGCGAAGAGGAAAGTGCTGACGTGCAGTTTTCCAGAGAGGCAAAACAATCTCAAACTTTCGCAAGGTGAAAGTGAGTTGATAAACACAAAACTGCCAATCATCCATAAACTTCACAAAACCACTGGGCCAAACCAGAGTGAATGCTATATATAACAGCCTGATAAGTCTACTGCGTTGCTGGCGCTTTATTGCACTCGCCCAGTGTGTCAAAGTCAAGCCATAAGCCTTAAGCCTGAGGGGAAACGTGAGTCTTATCAATTTAAACATTTTCCACTCGACTTCATTTCCTCCCTGACGCG